TTGCCCATAGCTTTCGCCGGCCCTGTATATACTTATTATAATCTGCTAGTGACTGTTACTGTATAAGTATTAAAATATATGACCTCTATCAATTTGTTTTGCTATTTGGATTTATTGTATGTTGATTATGTTATAATTGTGATTTTTAAGAATATTTTTTTTTCATATTAAGAACAAGACCACATGTGTTGTCCCCGTTTTACAAGTAGGTACGTAATGTAACAATTTTTACGCTCATCAAATCTCGTTTAGTTCCGTTCGTTTAAAAACTARAGTTGACCTCTTATTCAATTCAAAGGTAAGATTAGATTAATTATATAGACGACCTCTTGGGCTTTTTATTATATTTTAATTTTGAATTTAGTTATAAGTATTTTAAAATTGTAAGCTGTTTGTACATGTTAAATATCTTATAATTCACTTCTAAATTAAATGTAGGTAATTAAAGCCCAGGAGGCTGTTTAAATAATAATCTTACCTTAAAATATTGTATAAGAGGTCAATTCACTCCAATTTTAAACTAAAGGAGCTAAACATGATCAGCCAAGTATAAAATTTGCTACGTCACGTACTTGTAAGACGGAGACCACATATGCAGATATAACGTCCTCTTGAGAGAAATTTAAAAATATGCTATTCGAATGAATACATTTACATCCTTTTTCTATGGTCTATGGTTTATAAGACTACAGAAATATAATAATAACTCTCAAGTATGGAAATTTCGAGAATTTTTCTCAAAGCTGCTGCACTGTTTGCGACATTGATAAGCTACTACCACTAAGCCGCAACGATAACACGGAAATCAAAAAATTTCGTATCATTCGACATATTTCGTGTATTAGCTACTCAAATATYGTTTAATAATTTAGATCATCGTGACAAAGTATTTAAGTACCCGTATTGACTAGTCAAATAGATGTCGGTGGTGTATTGTATCCGTTGAAATTTGATTGTATTTCATYCACAACTTGTCGATAATACGTAAATATTGTTTTCCTTCAACAGATTAAGGCTCAGGTYCGTTATTAACCGATTGACAGGAGTTAATCAATGTAGTTACTGGACTGGTGGATTGAAATTTARAATAAATTATATTTTAATCACTGTTAKATATTTGCTGTTGGACAGCTAAATGGAGTCGCCTGGTGGGTAATCGTAGTTAATGGTTAGTAACATTGAACTCATGTTAAATTTATTTATTGGTTCTGATTTTAGAAGAAATAAACGGTCACAGTGAAGCCAATGAAGAAACAAAAGTAACAGAAAATACTGTAAAGGAAGAGATTTCTGAATGTACCCCGAAGAAGAATACAACTGAAAGTACTGTGGAGGAGCAAACGACAGAATCTGTTGTAAAAGATGAAGCCGCTGATCTGATTCTTGATTCCCCTTCTGTTGAATTTACTATAATACACAACAAAGACAAATACACAGTCTCCATGCCATTATTGTCGACAATTGCGCAGCTTAAAGACAAACTGGTTGACATGATAGGCGTACCAAGCAAGATGCAAAAAATCATGATCAAAGGTTTGGCTAAAGATGATCAAACTTTAGAGTCTTTGAATGTCAGTTCCTCTTCCAAAATAATGGTAGTCGGTGCTAAGTTACAAGATATTGTAGCTGTATCTGTAGCTAATGTTGAGGAGGTTTGTGAGAATCGTTTTTAAATTATTTCAGATTTATAAAACTAATATTTTTTTTAGGAATCCAGTTCTTCTAAATCGAGTTCAGCAATTAAAGAACCATTATGCAAGAAAAAATTGCATCTAAAAGTGTTGGAGCGAGGTATACCCGATGATGCTTTAGTTGGGATTTTAAATATCAGGGTTTGTTTGTCTGTATTTATTATAAGTTAATTGATATAATATGTATTATTTTATGATATCTAAACAATTTTTACAATTTATTCAAATATTATATTCAACATWTTTTTGGTGATAATTTAATTTTCAAAAATTTACTTTAAGAAATAAAAAATGATATTCWGGTGAAATTATTTAGATTATCCATACTCTGTCTAAAAAGAGAATAATCATAGGACCGATGGATTTTTATCAGTTCTGCGCTTTCTCCAACAACGACCTGGTGTGGTGTTAGTGTGTTCACAATAGACACGTCAGTTGCATTGTTCATGATGCGCAAAAGTGATTGTTCTCTTTTGAGACAGATTTTAGTTAAATTTTTCTATTCTGAACAAAATTAAATAAATGTTAGTGTTGTGATTTRTTGTTAAATTGTTAACCACTATGTGGTGAAATCAAATGTATGCTTCTTTTAATGCCCCAGCCTTCACTTGTAATAATGATTATTATAAATCATAATATTTTTGATTTTAGGATCCATTACCACCGCACCCTTTAAGTGGAATGCTTAATAAGCACGGGGGAAAAGTAAGACTGACATTTAAATTGGAAGTGGATCAACTTTGGATTGGTACTAAAGAACGAACTCAAAAGGTTGCTATGAATACAATCAGACATGTGATTAGTGAACCAATCGAAGGACATGAAGAATATCATATAGTGGTAAGTCTTTGTTTATTTTATACTGTGAGTATGTATAAATAATAAATTTTAATAAGTAATAATTTTATAATTGTATACAGAATAAATCTCTATAAGATGACACAAATTTACTGTAGTACATTTACAAAAATTAAAGAAATAATTGATTATATTAATACGTAGTAATGAAATACCAGTTTATTTATATATATAATTGTTTTTTTGTCTTCTTGTATTTCAGGGTTTCCAGTTGGGAACAACAGAAGCATCTCGTTACTGGGTATATTGGGTACCAGCACAGTATGTAGATTCCATAAAAGAAGCTATATTCGGTGGTTGATCATGTGTTGTTATGATTCTAGTCGATTTTTTTCCATTCAACACTTATTATTATATACATTCATTAAAAACAAATTATATATATGAATGTTAAATTTAATTTTAACAGCTCAAAATTTTACTTTTTATTATTATTCTTGAAAAACTTWCATACCAGATTGTATTTATAAAAAATATTTTGTTTTCCAATACTAACTACAAATACACATTTCCAGAATGAATGATAAATATTTCGATATGTATAAAATAAAAATCAAGTTCCTTGAAATAATAAATTGTGTATTTACATTTACATAATTTAAAACCATTCAAGCGTATTATTTAAAAATTTGAGCATTTATTTTACTCAATTTTTAAGTATGGTGTATTTTGTACAAGTTGTATAATATTATAAACTATACATTTTCTGATAAATTTTGTTTCTTGATCAAATATTTAGAGGTGCATTAATTATTTAATCATGTTAGATATTGATATATACTTGAAATGATACTAAAACTGCACAAATTAATCGCAAATAAAAAAGATTAACATAAATATAACGATTAATAAGTAACACACTACTTGTAACATTGTTAACAATCAACTGTGCTCGTGGATCAGATGAACTCAACTGCATGAAGAAAAAATAAYATTAAACATAACATTTATAATCATCGAKATTGAAAATATGATAAATGATACTGAATTTATCACCAATAATTATTATGGAAGATTTACTTGTAATAATATGTGATACTTTATATTTTTATAAAACTATGATATCAAAACTCAAATTGAATATTTGATTCTGTTAAAATAATTTTAATTTTGTATTTATGTTGTGTGAATATTGGTTGTTTTTAGTTAATTAAATAGGTATAAGAATAAAATATTTTTAGTGTTTTGTTTAAAATGGCATAACAACATGAACACAGGTGTTAGGCAATATTATTCATCAACCTACAATAAGATAATTTATAGAAGAAAAATTAACCACACTAATATTTATAGAACAATCAATAGGTACCTATTATTTTGGGCAATGCAATACTGTAGTAAACYTTTGAATTCGTGTTGAGGTATATTGGATATGAGTCGATTTGTGTTGCTGGTTTTTATTGCATATACAACTTGCTCATTGCTCAATTTTAAACTTTCAAGTATTCAAAAATAATATTAATATATATTATCAGATCTATGYATTCAAATTAACCCCTTAAAATTATTTTATGTTTCTTTACCAGCATGGTTGTAACTCTGAAAATGTTTACTGTGGGTAAAATATAATTTATAAGCCCATAATCAAGTTTGATATCTACCTTAGCTCTTGGATGTAAGTGTATAACCAGTGTTCAGAACGTTCACTAAAAAAATTAATTCGTTCGTGTTTAGTCCTTAAAAAAGAAACATGTTCACATTCGTATTTTTTTCAAATGAACGCATTGAATAAGTAATTAATTTAATTTTTTTTTATGAATAGTTTACCAATAGCTAAATATAAAAACCTATAAACATATAAGACTCAACCCAAAAATAAAAACACAAAATATCTACATTATAAACATATATTTATTAAATAGTAAATAAATTGAGCGTCTTAATATTTTTGATATTCATTAGAAAACGTTGTTCACATTCTATTTGAAATAAAACGAGTGACATTCTTATGTTCATTAAGTAGATGAATGTGAACGTTCGGTCACGAGCAACGGTCTTTCCAAACACTATGACCGTATTATATTTGTATTAATTGCTATGCATTTTTTATCTATTATTTTAGTATCAGGATTAWATGATTTATAATTTTATAAATTTATACACTACATATTTGATTAATATTCAAATCAATTGAACGTAGATGTCTGGTAACATAGAAAATGAAAACATAAATGACCAATGTGTTTGTTTATTAAAAATATTATTTATTTATGTTAAAAATTTATTAGTTATGGATGTAAATAATTTGACAAATGAAATTGACAACATTATTGAATCACAAAAGTTAAGATAATATAAAAATAGTTGCTTGTGGTAGGTTAAACAACACATTAGAACAAAATATTGTAGTAAAAAAAAAAAAAAAAAAAAAATTGGGAAAAAATTTGGTAAAGAATGGTGATAATTCCGCTAAATATCGTTATAAGTAAGTCTATGTTTCAATGTTCCTTTGATATTCTTTCAGTTGAAAAAAAAGAAAAACACTATAATTATATTTAAAACTAAAGTCACACCCACGTGTATTAATAATATTAGTAATTCACCAAGTGGATCTGTATCAATGGATCGGAGAGAACATAAAATATATATTTACAAAAGAAACTTTTTTTACAACTGAAAGAATATCAAAGGAACATTGAAACATAGACTTACTTATAAATTATAATAAGTCTATTCGCGGAACACTGTTGTTGGTTAAATATCAAGGAACTTGAAGACATCATAATATAAATCAATTGGTGTACAATGAAAAATATGGTAAAAAAGAATTATTTTAAATGTCAAATGTTTATCACTAATTTAAAGGTGGCTGTGACATCATTAGTGCAATAATTGTAGATATAGTATTGTCCAACTGCAGTAATCACTTATTATAGTAGATATTGGTAATTTAACAATATTGAGATATTTAATTCCCCGCATGTAATTATAGAGGAACMATTTTTGGTATATGTAACCAAATCAAAAACAAAACATTATTGCAGCAAGACATTACTTCAAACACGAAAGTTGTGTGCAGCCGTTACACAGTTAATTGAATTACAAATTTGGCATTTATGATAATTTTCAAATAAGTTATGAAATAAATACTAAATCGGATTTCAGGAGGGGCATGCAATTAAATTACAACTAAAAATATAAAGGTAATATTAAATACATGTACATTTGAAAATAATTAAGTTGAGCTTCAATTGTTCTTGATATAAATAAATATACATAAATATTAATAGAAAAGTATGAAAATATTGAGACCTTTAATTGAAAAATATTGTTATTATAAAGAATCACAGCCTAAAAATAAAACAAAACAAATAAACATCGAATATGGTAATTATATAAATAAAAAAATGTTGAGTATTCAGATTATGGTAAAAAAATAAATAGCACACAACTCGTGTCTTGGAAAACGTGTTATACATAAAGTGTTACAAGTTATTAAACGTCAGCAAACCAAAACATTAAGGTAAAATATTATTCATAAATATAATATTATATAAATAATGTTTTGTTTTAGTAACTTGTTACATCTCATCGTATAGTAAGTAAAAAAAATATATTGTATCTCTAAAATGTAATAAATAAAAATTCACAGTAGAAAAATACAAGATTGCATACACAATACATTTTTTTTAATCCACACACACACACACACACACGCGAATACAATTAAAAAAAATTCAACGACAATATATTTTGAGTGGGTGAATTTGGATCGTATTAAAACAGACCAACAGACTGTTTGATTTTCGTACGCTTCCATTTCGGCAGTTGTAGGAATTCATTTTTGT